ATTCCGACTATATCATGAACATATGTTTATTAATAACTATCCGATTGTGTTGATACATTAGAAGATACCACTTAACAACATCTACACCCAGATACCAATTCACATTGAGGGTAACAGGGATGTAAACACGTTTTAGGCAGTGCCAAGTATGGAATCCGAGAAGGGACATTGTCTCGTTGTCGCATTGTCGCCCTTTAAAAACAAGCAAAATGAGGCAAAATAAACCAAAACGCGACACGCAACATCGCGACAACGCGACATTTCTAAAAAGCCTAAAATTGACTAAAACGCGACAATGCGACATATTGAATATGTCGCATTGTCGCGTTGTCGCCCTTTTCGATTACCGGTGCGCATGCTAGAAAGTCAATTACACTACGCATGCTCAGCAAAAGTTATACTCTATTTCACACTTTAGTGGTCTTTTGTTACCTCTAATGGTTTTAAAATGAAGTAGTACTCGTAATGGTAATGGGGGCTGCTTTTCTTGAACTTAATGGAAATCCTTCATTGTTGCTTTGAAAATTATTTTATATATTGTAAATGTATTTAGCCAATTAAGTGTTTTTAGCAGCATTAGCGCTACTATTCATTGTAATGACGGCACACGGTGGTCCTGTCATTCAAGGCGGGGCAATTTGCTGTGCAGAGTTGTGTCTCTTAGTCACACCAGAACACTATGATCATAGGTTTGATCCCAGCACCATACACATTCATCACTTTGGAACCCGTGAAGGTCCGGGTTAGAATGTGCCTTCAGTAACCCATTCAGTAACCTATTCAGTAACCCAATCGGGTGGTCAGGCTCGCTGACTTGGTTGACACATGTCATCGCTTCCCAATTGTGCAGATCGATGCTCATGCTGTTGATTACTGGATTGTTTGGTCCAGACTCGATTATTTACACACCGCCGCCATATAGCTGGAATATTGCTGAGTGCGGCGTAAAACTAAACTCACTCACTCACTTTGGACATTTCACCGATATCAAGCTCACAGGTTGTGAAAAACTGAAATATTGTTAAAATTCAGGCCACATCGGCAGAAACATCAGGTGATGTCCTCGAATTGGTCACTATGTTCGACAGTTTGGCTCCTGACAGAGTTTCTTGGTATAGTCCTGTCCGACGCTGATGAATTTTTGTCCCACATCTGCCTCTGTTCAGCCAGCAGTGCATGGATACCAGGCAGAACGAAATGGTAATATCACTTAACCATCCAGCACCTCAAAGACAGTTTATGTCGGCTTAGAACGTGATATTCTTCTTGGGAAAACGCCATACAAATGGACTGTTATCATTATGATGAAACGGTGAAATCGCTTGGCAGAGTTGCGTACCCTTGGTGTGCCAGAAACAAACCCTCCCTCCCTCACTCACTCCGCTCCACTCACTCACTCACTCCACTCCTCTCCGCTCCACTCCATTCCGCTTAAGGTTTAGAGAGCTTGGCAAAGTAGCAAGGTATTTCATTACAATAATGTGTTGTGATGTCTGTGCTTCAATTCTATTTGAATCCTATATTATTAATCCTGCACATGCCATGATTCACAATATATCGATAATGATACTATACCCAGCGATACACATCTACTTGTATCGTTTCAAACATACACCTACTCAATCATTATAATTTTCAGCAAAATGGCCAGTTTGAATACATCCATTCCATTAACCAACAGACTTCACGGCCGCATGTACGTTCATTTATATTGTTCTTAGTTCGATCACTGGGTATTTCAGCCCTATAAAAACATCGAAAAATAATCATGCTTCTGATAGTTTTTAATTCCGCCGTAACTAATTCCGTGCTCTTTGTTAAAGTATTGAGTATAGTATGTATCAAAACGTATTGACTAAAATGCGACACGTTGTCGCATTGTCGCGTGTCGCGTTTTAGTAAATTTTGTAGGCTGTTTTAAACATCTTACATAGGGCGACAACGCGACATATTTTGACCTTGAAAATTTTCGCTATGTCGCGTGTCGCCCTTTGGAGGAATAGAAAAAATATTTTTCAAAACGCGATATGCGACAATACGACAAATGGCCGAAATGTCGCGTTGTCGCATTGTCGAGCTTTGGTTAATTTTGCCTCATTTTGCTTGTATTTGAGAGGGCGACAATGCAACAACGCGACAATGTCCCTTCCAGGATTCCATAGCCAAGGCACTGTAGTCAACATGGATATGTTTCAAACAATCTAATCTGTTACCAAGCACAGGACTCTATAGTACGCTTGCTACAAAATCGAACGGATGAATAAATATACATTGGAAAGCAATAAATCGTCTCAAATAACATGACAGTTTGTCCATTCCAGCTCGCAATTATAATTTCAGATACTGGCATGTTGGTGTTTTAATGACTGTTGTAACACGGAGGTATGCACAATAAACAGAACAGCTAAAGGGTATTGCGAAACAAAGGGATAAACTCAAAACTCCTGCTCTGAAATATTTTCATTGTCACTGTCACTGTCAAGTGCCCAAGTGCATTTACCAATCTTGTCTCAACTTTTTCTTACCAGTTTCCCCACATCGGATAGCTTTTATTGCTTCAGCTAACATCGCCCTTTACAATTCCCCAGACAAGTTGTGTGGGCTTAAGGTCACAATGATAAGGTGATAGTCTCAGGTGAGGTGAGGTGAAAATGGGTTTAACGTCGTGCTTGAGAATATTTCACTCATATGACGACGTGCATGCGTGATAGTCTCAGGACCTCGTGTCCATGTGATTGTAGGGCAATGTCCACCTTGTAATATCCTTCTGTTTGTGGTCTTGTGCACTGTGATGGAAAGCATTGTCCATAACGATCAGCGAATTCTGAGGTAGAACCGAAAGTAGCTGTTTCTCCAATCATATTTGAAAAACTTATTATAATAATCTTGGATCCTTACAAGTGGTTGAAGTATTGTAAACCTATTGTCCTCCTGTTGGAGTACTCAATCCTAACACATTCACAGTAAATGTAAGCTTACCAATGTTTTAAAACGTATATTTGTGGTTTTATATGATGACTAGAATTGCCAGCGACTGAAGGGAAGATTTAAATACAGCTATCGCCCATACATCATTTTTAATGTCCTTTGTTGACAGGTTTGATAATTTAATGTATTCATCATCTATTTAGAACTTGTTTTAGTCACGATATATCTCACTCACTAAATGTGTATGTCGGTAATATCAAAGCACTATCGTGACGACAAACAGTCATATACTGAGATAGGTATAATTTTTAAAACGATGTCATCGAGGGACAGTATAGCAACTAGATTGTCATAGATAACAATTAAATCTGGTCAGAGATCATTTTAAAATACTAAATCATTATTCAACAACACAAAATATATTGAGCTGTAGACTTTATATATGTATACTTTTGCTTCCTGCAGTTCCCCAACCGATTTTACAACATCCCTCCAGCTGCTGGCGATTGTAAGCAAAATTAACCAACAATTAAAACTGAAACTAATTCATTTCTCCGAGTGTGAAATCAAAATAAGTTAAAAGGCCGAAACAAGGCGGATACGACGGGGAAATTTAAGTAAGTTCCATGACTGGTTAATTAACACCACAAACCAACTTTTACCTTTGTAACGCCGCACTCAGCCATACTCCAGCTATATGACGGCAGTCTGTAAATAAACGAATCTGGACCTGACAATCCAGGGATCAACAGCATGAACATCGTTCAGCACAATTGGGATAAGCTGACACGTGTCAACCAAGTCAGCGGGCCTGACCACCTGACCTCCATTAGTTCGCCCTTTACGACAAGCAGGGGTTACTGAAGACGAATTCTAACATGGATCTTCACGGGTCTTATCAATTAAGTGAGTGAGTGAGTTACAATTTATCGTCACATTGGCAATGTTTCAGCCATATCGTGACGGGAGAACCGCATACACCAATAACAAATGTATGAAATATATTTAAACCATAAAAAATCCTGTCGCCAAAAGACAGTATAACAACTAACACATTTTATTTAAAACTAGTTTGGAAAATTTAAAATAGTAAACTGATAATCGACAACTCAACCATATATATGGGCTATAGATCGCCAGCAACTGAAGGTAGATCACCATGCTAGGGATCATTGGATTATCCATTTAGAGATTTTGGTGTCATTTACACTGTATATTGTATGATGATGGCAGTTATATGTTGTTATTGTGTTGATATCACACTGGTGTTATGTGTAATAACACTCTATAAAAATACCACTTGACGACTGTTTTTTAAATCATTTCCGCAGTTTGCTATATTACTTTTATTACGTACCATAGATTACTTTAAGGTATAGTATATTTGCTCTCCGTATAGTACACAGCTTTGTGTTATTTTGTAATTATCAAGATCCCTAGTGGTGAAGAATGAGTGAGTGATTAAAGTCAGTAAGGCAGTATTTCAGCCATAACCTTATTTTGCCCCGAGACATTTGTCTCATGCACTACAACCGCTACAGGCAGTCACGCACCTGTCGATTCATTATTTACAGTCTACTTTGTTTGTTCAAATTAACTGAGTTTTTAAATAATAAATGCATTATTTTTCTAGTGGATTGGTTTTATGAGAGGTCTGAGAGTTTAATTAACTTCAATAGAATACAGTTTATATTGAACTGATTGCTGTCGAGGAAAATATTCGGCACATGTGATTACTGTTGATGTACTGATATTCCCTCCTTAAACATCAAAGCTGAATACAAGTCATGAACAGGCGGTGGCAGGGTTAAAAAGACTCAACAGGAATAAGGAGTGAAAGTAGTGAAGGTCCAGGTGGTGAAAATGTGGTCTTACCGGAGAGAAGTTGTCTTACTAATTTTAGGAATCACGAAGTTAGTCAGTGCAGACAACTGTTTGGACGTGGATTCTGTAGTTCAGAGCGACAAGTACATGGAACACCAGGTGTTCAGAAAGTTCAAGAGTCAGTTTCTCTACACCTGCACAGCAGAATGTCTGATGTCCTCAACATGTCTGTCCTTTGGATTTGACAAGAAAACGCGCACCTGCCTCCTCAACAGTAACAGTAGTGATACTGCTAACGTTGTTGACAGAAAGGAATTTCTCTTCAGTGATATTCAACACTGGCCAAAGGTTGGTGTTCACAGTAGATTTTTTTTCCTTTATTTCAGGCCTTCAGGGCTTTGTGTTCTTGCCATTCTGCAAACCCCATGTTACCTCAGTGGCTTCTGAATGTCTGCAATATTTATCTTAATAAACGTTTTTCAGTCTCTTGAAGGTATATACATTCTGTCATTCTTTTGAATGAAAAAATCGGTACAAATGTCAAGTGTAAAACTATCTTGTGTAGAGGTACAAGTAGAATCTTCTTAAAACCACAAGACCCAGAAAAAAGACTCACCTAAAGGAAATCTAAGTCTTTCATACAGGCAACTGTGATGCACAGTTACAACGTTAAATATTAAATTGTTCCAGAGCTTACCATTAGTCCAGGAGGTCAGAAGTAGCGAGTAAAACAAACCACAGAAGAGATGAAAACATGTCCCAACTGATGGATTGTCTATTTGCATTAAACGCTTTAGTCATTCTCCATAACAGTGACGCCGAAAGTTTTGGAGGACAAGGACATCAATGGTTGTATCAAGAAGTTTGTATTTACTGGTAAATAAATCATGGAGTGACATTTTGAATTATTGCCATACCACGAGTGTTGCGTAGATTGATGCTCGTGCTATTGTATACTAGATCGTCTGATCCAGACCCGATTATTTACAGACCACTGCCATATAGCTAGATTATCGCAGAGTGTGGCGTAAAACTAGACTCACTCACTCACTCACTCACTCACATTTGCCATGCAATGCATTATGGGCATGTGTAACACGTTTGGGAATGTGCGTCTCTGTGAACTGCATGAAGCAAATGAACGTGTAACACTGCTGTGCATTTGGGCAGGTTAATTGTTTGACTTTTCATCGTTTCAAATATTAAACGGCTAACGAACCGCACCTTGCCCCATGACTCACGACTGTGATGCTTTTGGCGGTGGTTCGTGGGACAGGTCCGTAGGAGAATGTCGGAATGTCAGGTGGCTGCTCATTTCCATTGCCACCAAAACAACATAATCGTAAACCGCCAAGACAGGACTCATGGATACGGGTGGCCCATCTCCGACAGATGTTTCCGACTGCAGCGGCCACTGCTCTGACGATTTCAGGACCTCGATTGTGGTGGAGGACTTTTTATAGACGAGTTCAAATTTACCATTTACCATAGTGTCGGTAAATGTGTCTACTGACGTCATGCTGGAGCGTTATGTGCAAGTCTGTCCTGGAGGGGAATCGCTTTGGAGGTGGTTCCATGATGACTTGGGATGGGATAAGTGCACCTTAGAGAACTCAGGGCAATTTGACAGGTGTGGGCAACAGCGATCAGATTCTCGGCCTAGTGGCAGTTCCGTTTCATCAACATCGTGGCCAAGGATTCACATTCCCACGGGATAATACCGTCCTTGCGCCGATAGGGTTGCTATGTTTTCGTCAACAGCCCAATGTTCCAGTGCTAACTTCGCCTGGATGAAATTAGCTTGAACCAAATTCAACAGATAACGTTCATGATTTGGCAGCAGATTTTCTAAGAATATAGCAAACAATTCCAGAAGCCATCCATGACCGTTTGATAGGCTGTTCTCGTTCCTCGTGATATGCACAAGTGTTTGACCCCTCCTACGCATACAAATCTAATGTTGATAATGAACGGCGCACTGTGATTGGCACACTCCAGGCTGGCCAGTTTACTGTGAATCTTGTACGTTCTATGAGATAGGGTAGACTGACCATTCGCAACTTCAGGACACGTGTGCATCAAACGGATACACCTTACGATCGCCTCAGGTCACATGCTGAGGATAATTAAAAAACGTCCCCAAGTAACGGACTGTATAAAGGTATCTTAACTGCGACGGGCACAGTTGCACCTGCAGATGGCTAAAGTTCCTGCAAAATGCAGATATTGACGTCATGGAGTGGCCACTGAGATCACTTGACCTCAATTCCTAGGGTTGCTCTTGAAAGAAGTCTTCGTGCCTTTAGAATGTTCAAGAGCCGTGCACCATGTTGGTGCAGCAATGTCGCATGTTGCCGATACATGGCTAGTTCATGTGAAATAAAAAAGCGAAATCATCGCGTTATGTGTACTAAGCGCACTTATCCTGTTTGTACACAGCCATATCCTGTATAGCCATATCCCGTCTTAGTGTACGCTAGTTACGTCCATATATCAGATTTATCTTCAAGGAACACAGTTTGTTTCTTTTTTTGTTTGTTTAGATTTACGGGGGATATCCTCTTATTTACCTTATGTCGTTTTGCCTTTTGCTTTTTTTTCGTTGTTTAACTTCGTTGTAATATTCCAGCCCTCTAGTGTGTCTACCTGTATTGGAGTTCCAAGTGAATCGGAAAGATGTACGTAAAAGAATTTGGCGTGAAACCTGCATAAAACATTCACCTGATGAAGGTGTATGAATACATTCTGAAATGTCGTGTTCCTCAAAAGCTGACATCCACAAGTTCTCGCCTTTAGGTGTATCACTTCTAAATGCCGTTCAAAGACTTTATTAAACAAGTGATAAAACAGAGAATGGTATGCAAGTAAGAATTGCATCATAAAATATACTACGTGTAATAAACAATGCAAATTACAGCAAAGGAGTAAATGAGTGGCAATACAAACTCAACAGAATTACAACTTCAAGTGCAGCATAAAATAGAGCGGATGTGATAGCATTCAGAATGGAAATAAAATCAGTGATAATAGTATTCACCAAGCAGCTAAAGCTGACATATACAAAAACGTTTATTATAACTGGGTCATTCTGGCTGCTTTGCAATAAAAGTAAGAAAACACTAATATAAGGAAACCAGTGAGACCGCCGCATGTGTTCCTGCTTAGATCTAAGCATATACATTCAGAGAGAAAAAGCTGTCTCCAAGGGTGTATAACAAAAGGGATGACTTTCCGTCAATGTCGAACAATATTCCAACAGCTCCAGTCATTGGTGTTTCCATTTCACAACTTTTGAGTCGCCCTTTTCATCAAGATTTCAAACAGTGTCATATGAAACTAAGGAAAATGGGGACATCATTAATCAACACGAGTACAACGCTTTCCATTTAGAATGCCAAAATATGCTTGTCGTATGTTTTGGAATTCAGCGACAGAATTGTGTTTGATCTGTCGGCAGGGCCCGGTGAACATGTGGGATTGAATTGATCTTCAGCAACCTCTGCTTTTTGAAAGACGTCACTAACGGGACCGAGTGGTCAGCCTCACTGAATTGGTCATTAGACTTCATCCTGTGCCAGTTACTTAGATTTATGCCCATGATTTCTTTCAGTGGATGTCTGGTGCCAACCATTTCTCATGCTTCAATGTGTAATTGAAAAAAATCTGTGGAATTAAAGGTTGACAATCAACATCTTCCGTTGTTGGATTTATATACATTGGAAAACACAACACGAACATTTGTTGTTTGAACGGCATAAGTATATACTGTTAAAAAAGAAACGCATAGCCAGTGTTTATGCTCAGGCGTCCTGACGGAAGAGCACGTGTGAACACACGGCGTCATGTACTGTATGCTCCCAACTACGTACAGGAAGTAGACAGATTTTGTGACGGAGTGTTATGGCTTCGGCAGGCATCTCATACAGGCATCTCCAATCATGAACCGTCAGAACGTCATTTTCCAACATGACAATGCTGGACTGCATAGAGCAAGATTAACCAGAGATTTTCTTGCTCAGCACAAGGTTCTTGAATAACCCTCCACATCACCAGTTCTGAACCCAATTGAACATTTGTGGGACGAACTGGATCGACGTGTGAGACAGCGTGATTCTCAGCCGCAGACCTTAGCTGCTTTGTTTTTTGGCTTTGCGGGAAAAATGTCAGAACATTCCCAGACATTTCATCTGGAATCCAGTCTATGGGACACAGATGCCAGGCAACCATTGAGGCTGATGGTAGTCACACAAGATACTGATTGCTCCGTGACCTTGACCTTTCTGCACATGTCATTTGTTACGTCCCACCTCTACTCTACATGTTCAACAGTGTTTTCTTTATCACTGTCCTGTATCGCTCAAATTTAATTACATGCATAAATATATCGCGATTTTCAGCTATGAGTTTCTTTTTTGAAGTATATTTTGTGCTTGTGTATGGATTCTTTTGTTCCTAAACCCGTGAAGATCCGGGGTAGAATAGGTCGTCAGCAACCCATTCTTGTCATAAAAGGCGAATATGCTTGTCGTAAGAGGCGACTAACGGGATCGGGTGGTCAGGCTCGCTGACTTGGTTGACACATGTCATCGGTTCCCAATTGCGCAGATCGATGCTCATGCTGTTGATCACTGGATTGTCTGGTCCAGACTCGATTATTTACAGACCGCCGCCATATAGCTGGAATGTTGCTGAGTGCGGCGTAAAACTAAACTCACTCACTCACTCTTTTGTTCCTAGTCTCTCTCTGGGCGATGCGCTGAAAGGATATGTCCCAACAACAACCGCTGTGAAGTAACTAGACGGGGTCTTGCAAGGTGTGTTCCAGGTAACCAATCTTCTTCCAGTGTCTCAACTACCTCTAGCCGATGCAAACAGTAGGTTAGTTTTGCAAAGTTCCAGTTGGCGATACTGTACATGATTTAAACGGTTGCCGTATTGCGTTCCTTATAAAATGGCATAAGTAAGTTACATTTTGTACAAACGGCATTTTCAGACAAGAAATTGCTGAGGCAACACACACATGCAGTGTAAAGACATCGTACATGAGTAGAATTGTGCTGTTCTCCGCCCTTTTAACATTCTTGGAGTAATGAAAACTTCGGAATGCTATTGGAAAAAAATCCCTTCAGGACTTGGTGTTTTGCTACTTTGATTTCTAGTCAAGCTGATATATGATGTAGAGTACATGAATGATGAGAGATTAAAGTTCCAAAACACGAATGTTGACATATTGACGTGGATTGTAATTTTTAAGCTATATAATTTTGTGTGTGAAGAGTTTCAAGGGTGTGGTCACCCTCCGGAAGTGGTTGGCGCCAACATCAAGTATGATGGTCACTACCTGGGAG